GGCGCTCCCGCCGTTCCCCTGCCTGGGGCCTTAAATCCGGGGCTGGCCGTGGGGGGAGACGCGGCCGGGCCGGGGGCGCCCTCCTCGCCCCGTGCCAGGACGGCCGGGCTTCATGCCTGAGCCGCCAGCAGCGCGGGTTAGGAGACAGCCCGCTTCAAAGGTGACCGCCGAGGAGAAGCAGCTGGGCTTGTGCGCTGCTGCTGCTCCCCCTCTTCTTGTTTTGTGAGAGCTAAAGAGAGCCTGGGAACGGGCCTGGCTTTTTCCAAAGCAAAGGCTTTATCTTTCCTGCTTGGGTTTTTTTCCCGTTTTAATCCTGGAAGACTCCATGGCTCAGAGGTGGCAGGTTTGTGTCAGTAGCAGAGAGGTGGCAGGTTTTATCTACCTTAGATAGAAATTCACTGAGACTAATGGAGAAGGGGAAGCAAGGTTTAGTCCGGTTCTTGCACCCTAAGATAATAGCAGACAGTGGCTCATTGATCTGGAAGTTGATATCTGATGCTGTAGGAAAGAGAGAGGTTCTTGTAAAGCCCCTAACGCTCACCGAGCTCAGACTTGGCTAAGGAGTTGCCTCCCCCGGTTCCTGTGCTACAGCAAACTCCCAAACCACATCTGAGTCATCCATGGAGTTTCTCCAACAAAGAAATGGGAGAGATGAGCATTGACATTGATGTTTCCAAGGGAGACAAATTAAGGAGAGAAGTGGTACAGACCAAAAGCAAAGCCTGGGAGGAAAAGTGTGCATGTGACACGTGTTCCTGTACTGAGTTCTTTGAGTGGATGACTCAGTAAATGACTGGCTTTATCCCTGTTTAATTAGGAGCAGGATCTGGCCCCATGAGAGTGCGTTCTCCCCCATCTGGTATTGGATGTGGATACAAATTAGATGGCTCTTGAACAAGCCTGACAAGTTAATATGTTGGGTTATTTTTATTTCCCTCACTCTTCGTTGTATAAATAGAACCTTTATAAGTTGGGAGGGGAATTTGGCTGCAGGCTGTGTTTCTGGACAGCTTGTGGCAAGCAGCGATTGCTGTGCAGGCTCTCAGCTTTTGTGCCCTCTGGCACTGAGGGCACTGCCCCTCATGGACTGAGGCTAGGACACTTGCAAGGGGCACCCAGAGATCTTGGGCCCTTCAAGCTGTGTTGGCCAAAGAGTTTTCACTCGCTCATTAGCTTGCTGTGAATGCTACCACCCCATCTGCTGCTTGTTCTGGGGGCGGCAGAGGTGCTGTGGGCAGGAGGCTGGCTGCCTTCCTCCATACTGTCCTGTAACCAGTCTGACCAGCTGTGGGAAGTAGGCTGTTTTTTCCCCAGCAGTGCTCATCTGCTCTGTGGTGATTGGAGCGCAGGTCCTTTGACTGTCAAGGCTGGTTTGCCCTTGAAGCGTTACTGGTGCCAGCCTTGTCAAAGCTCTTCTGGAGAAAACCCATGCCACTTCACACAGCTTGGTGTCTCCCATGGAATTGGAGCATGAAGGTGGCAAAGTCGTGTCTGGTCTGGATGGCAGTGACCTGGGAGCCAGTGCAGGCATGTTTCCTGTGCATACTGTATTTTCATGGACCCCTGCTGGTTGTATTGTTCAACTCTGCCTTCTGTGGGAGGGAAAGCTGCTTTTAGTTGGCTCTGAGCTGGAAGCCCTTATCAGCTCCAAGTCTGATCCCGAGCAACACAAAAGGGGCCAGCTACAGCAAGTGAGGAGGGTGGAGGGCAGAGTGTAACCTAACCCAGGCAGGCAACTGCAGCATTTGGGAGTGGGCTTGGGTGTGCTCAAGTTCACTTTGCCTCTGATGGAGCAGCTGGGGTGTCTGCCTGCCTGACCTGGGCAGCCACTGCCGCTGTTCCTGGGAGTACGATGTGCAAGGGCAGGGTTCCCTGTGCAGCTTGCTTTGGGGCAGTGAGAGGCAGGGGCTGAGAAGGGCATTGGCTCACAGGCTGGCCTATTTAGCATGCAGGGAAATGTGGGCATGTGCCCATATTGAAACTGTTACCCTGCTCTGTTATTAGAGGGTGTCACTAAGTGGGTACCAGCTGAATTCTTGGGACAACTAATACAAAAACAGAGACAGGAGTGGGGGTCAGAGGTTAATAACAAGTGCTCCAAGGGGTGGTACTGAGCAGAGTACACCAGCCAGTGTCCCCTGGCCCTCAAAGGAGTAGAAGGACCTGGTGGATGGCACTCAGTGAAACTGCCTGGAAACCTGAACAGATAAGGGACAGGAAGGCAGTCCCACAGTCACTGGGGGTCCCCAGTCAGAACCTCCTTCCTGGCCAGATAGATGGCCAGGAGGAAGTTGACCAGGAGGTCTGGGGACTTGGTGGGGCCATGGGCAAGGAAAACAGAATGGTGTGGGGAGTAATGAAGCCACAACTTCACCACCTCCTCAAGAGCCTCTTGCTGAAGGGGCTGTAACCTGGTGCACTCCAGGTAGGCATGTGCCAGGGTCTCTTCCTGC